ATGGGATTGGTATGTGGCTTCAGGTAGAGGCAGGGGGCTGCTTTGCACACAGCTGGGAGGGAGTCTGAGCCCAGTGAAGCATGGGCATTGGCAGGATTAGGCTGGCCCCAGATCAAGGTGGAATCAGCCAACATCTGAGCTCCATCTGCACCCGACCCTGTGCCAGGCACCAAGGCGCGGGGGGAGGTCCCTCTCGTCCGTGGGTGGGCATTCAGTCTGTTGGCTTATACAGGTGTCTGCTCTTTGCCCACAGTCACACGCCTCCTCCCAGCCGAGGCCACCTTCCCCTTTCTCAGTCTCTTTTCCCTTTCATTTCTTTGTGCTTCCTCTTGGGACTGAGTTCCTGTTTCCTGACCTCCTTGTTCACCCCTCAACGGCCAAGGTGTTGAGAGACCTTGTGCCCTACGGAGTGGCTGGGGCCTGAGCCACCGCACACGCCTGGTGACTGCCCCTGGCCCCAGGGCTCAGAGTGGCCAGAAGCAGGAGGGCGTCCCTCTGCCTGGCTTATCCCACTCTTGTCACCCCGCTCCGTCAGGACGTGAACCTGAAGATGCCTCGCAACAACCAGCTGCTGCACTTTGCCTTCCGCGAGGACAAGCAGTGGAAGCTACAGCAGGTGACCGGGCCCCTGCCCAGCCAGGGCTCAGGCCACAAGGGCAGGCAGTGGCACGCCCTGGCGGCACTGAGGCCTCCCGGCGCTGGCGGCCATGGGGATCTGCAGCCACAGCAAGCCCGGGAGGGGGTTTCCCAGCAGCGAAGCTGGAGCAGACTGGACAGACGGTGCCTGGGGCTCCAGAGCCTTGCCTGGTGCGAGGTGGAGCACTTGTCCTGTCTGTAGGCCCCCAGGCCCCAGTGGGAACCGCAGTGGTCCCCTGAACAAGGCAGTGCCCTGCCCAGAGCCTCCAGGGGCCTCCCATGGCTCTTGGGGACCAAGTCCACGCTCCCTACCAGCTTCTGTGTGATTGGGCCCCGGCCTCTCCCCCTGTCCCCCCCCACTCCCTGGCTACCAGCTGTGGCCGCCTCAGGGTCTCTGCTCGTCCCTCTGCCTGGAGTCCTCTCTCCGGCTCTTCTCATCACATGGGTGATGCTCAAGAGTCGCCTCCCTGGAGGTCACCCCACCCTTCCTCTGGGACCCTCTGTGCTTCCTTGGGCAAGTCTAGCAGTCAGGGGTCACCTTGTGTCTTTATTCCGTTACCCTCCATCTCGCCTTTAGAAGGTGAGCTATGTGAGGCCGGGGACCAAGCCTGCCCTTGGAGGGCAGCACCCAGCCAGGGCCCGGCCCTTGGAGGGCACAGAGCCGACGGCTGTGGGGGAAGGGTTGGATGAGGGCCAGGCAGGCAGCACCCACCCCTCCCCTCTGAGGATGACACCCCTTGGGGTGGGGGCCTGGTGACTGTGGCTGCTCTGAGGCTGGTACCTGTCCCTGCCAAGGCCCAGCCCCCTGACCACATGGTGGGCGCTGTTTTCAGATCCAGGACGCCAGGAACCACGTGAGCCAAGCCATTTACCTCCTCACCAACCGGGATGAGAGTTACCAGTTCAGGACGGGAGCAGAGGTCCTCAAGGTGAGCTGCCCACTGGGAGAGGGGAGCCAGCTTCCCCATCCCTGGCCCTGACCCCAACCCCGACCCAGCCCCTGGAGAGCTCTGCCCCCACATCGTCAGGCATCACCAATGGTTGACCCTTCACCTGTCAGTGTACACATGTCTATCCAGCCAGTCAGGTGGTCACAGCCCATATTCCAGCACCACATCTGGGTTCTGATCCCAGGGCCTCCACTGCGAGCTGTGCAACCTCAAGTCACTTGCTTAGCACTCTGTGCCTCAGTTTTCCTATCTGGAAAAAGGAGACAAGCTTAGTAACTTCTGATTGTGAAAATATGGGTAAAGCAGCCCCTAGTGAGTGCTCAGGAAACAGTAGTGGCTAGTGGTAGTACCAGTAGTGGGACAAACCTTTGTAATAACAAAGTGAATTCCCATGGCCCAGTTGGAGGAGCTGAGCCCCGATGCCCCAGACTCATGCTTTAGCCCTGCCCCTGACTTGCTGTGTGTCCTCAGGTAGCTCACCTACCCTCTCTGGAACTCTGGTTCCTCCTATGAAAACTTGGAACTAAATGGATTAAGGTCCCTCCCAGACCTGTGACCGCCCTGGGATTAGGAGGGGCAGCCCCCAGGCCTCCACCCAACAGTCCTGCCTTTCCCGGGAGCCAGGCCACCCCGCCGCGAATAGCAACAGCTGGAAGCATTGGGCACTCGTGCTCCAAGCTAGGGCTTTGCTCTTTGGCAAAGGGAAGGGATGAGTTCCAGAAGGTTCCACTGTTCACTTACCCCTTCCAAGCATCAGTTTCCTCACCTGCGAAAATGGGCCTGGTGCTCACCTTAAGGCCTCAACTCAGCCATCCCATTGCCTCCTCCAGGAAGCCCTCCCTGGCCCCTTAGACCCAAGCTGGGTTAGGGCTCCTTCTTCTAAGCTCCTTCACTGCCTTTGCCCCCATCCACAAAGCCCTCATGCTCCTGGGCCTAACTCCCTGGCCCTCCCCTTCTCCATTGGACCAGCACCCAGGATCCCGTGCAATAGAACCTTCTGGATGGGTGCAGGCTCCAGGGTGTCATCACCAGTGCAGACGCCCTGCCCCGCACCCCAGCTGGAGCCCAATTGCCTGCATCTTTAATGAGCTCCCCCCTGCTTTGGGGGTTCAGGCCCTGAGACCGTACCCACCCAGGGCAGGAGCAGGGAGCTCCCCTAACCTTGTTGCTCCCTGATGCTGGGGGGTGGGGGGGGGGGGGGGGGGTGGGGGTGGGCCCAGGCCCCCCTCCCCCGAAGCAGCTGTGACCAGCCCCTCCCCACAGCTGATGGACGCCGTGATGCTGCAGCTGACCCGAGCCCGCAACCGCCTCACCACCCCGGCCACCCTGACCCTGCCAGAGATCGCTGCCAGTGGCCTCACGGTCAGTGCCCTGAGCCAGCCCCTGCTCCGAGACGGGGGTCCCCGCACTGGTGCCTGGCTTGCCCCTGGGAGGGACACGGGTGCCAAGGGCTCCTGGAAGCCCCGAGTCATCCTGGTTCGGAGCGCTATGTTTATGCACAGTTTTCTGGGATGTGGTCCTTGGCTTCTGTCTTGTGTCCCCCAGATGTCGTCACCCCTCGTTTGGGTCAGTCGTTCCCAAGCCCAGCAGTACCAATCCATGGGATGGGGACTGGCGTCCTCCCAGGTGATTCTGGGGCTGTGCCTGCCCGGCCCTCATCCTGTGCCTGCCTGGCCCTCCCCACAGCGGATGTTTGCCCCCGCCCTGCCCTCCGACCTGCTGGTCAACGTCTACGTTAACCTCAACAAGCTCTGCCTCACCGTGTACCAGCTGCACGCCCTGCAGCCCAACTCCACCAAGGTGAGCCGGCCCTGCGGGGCTGGCCCCCACCCTCCCGGCCTCCGCCCCCCAGCCCCCAGCCTCACTGGGCCTGGTGCTCTTCTGCCTAGAACTTCCGCCCGGCTGGAGGCGCCGTGCTCCACAGCCCCGGGGCCATGTTGTAAGTATGCCAGCCCCTCCCCACCCCGACCCTCTGCACCTCGCGGGCTGGGGGGGCAGGCTGGCCGGCCGCCTGCCCTCGGAGACCCTGCCCTCTTCCCCCAGTGAGTGGGGGGCGCAGCGTCTGGAGGTGGGCCACGTGCACAAGGTGGAGTGCGTGATCCCGTGGCTCAACGACGCCCTCGTCTTCTTCACCGTCTCCCTGCAGCTCTGCCAGCAGCTCAAGGATAAGGTGGGGACACTGGGGGCTTCAGGTGGGGCCCGGGTCCCGCGCCCAGACAGACTGGACCAGCCAGGCGGCAGGCTGCTCAGCCCCTTCATTCTGGGGGGGAGTCCAAGGGCCCCTGTCATGACTCCAACACCCCAAATCTGGAGGCCCCTTGTGCCCTCCGCGCACACACACCCGGCAGATAGATGCGCCACAGCGTCGCTGGGCAACAGTACCCTCTCCCTGGCACATCGCCCTTGGATGACCTTGAATCTCCCCTGGGTCACGGAGGGTACAGCAGGGGCCAGGCCCCCCAGCGCCACTCACCATGTCCCCCACCTCCTGCCCTCCCCAGATCTCCGTGTTCTCCAGCTACTGGAGCTACAGGTCCTGAGCAGAGCACCCCAGGACCCCCGTCCCCCTGGGAAATGGCCCCTGCCAGGGGTGCCCGTCCCCCAACCCCCCACTCCCCCACCCCCCTGTCGGAGCACTGGCTAGAGCCGGGCCCTGCGGGCTATTTATTTCCCTCTTCGCCCATCTTGCTCATCACGTGTGCACAGATGGGAATGACCAGTGGACATGCTAGAAGGAAGGAGCCGGCTTGCTTTTTGCTTGGGATGGGAGCGTCAGGAGGGCAGCCGGAGGTGGAATGTGAGGTGACCCACATTCCGGGCCCTAAAGCAGGAACCTTTAGACTCAGGGTGGGGCCAGGCCTTGGGCTCCTTCCTCCTCGCTCCACTGCCTGCCCAGCTGCCCTGGGAGGGATGGTGAGGGGTGTGGTGGCCCTAAGCTGTGAGCGGGAAGGAAGGAGGAGGAATGGGCAGACAGAAGCCCCGGCCAGGAGCTGGGGCACTCTCACTGTGTTGCTCAGCCACCATGATGGGGCCTCCAAGAAATAAAGATCATCCGACTTTGCCTGGAACCCCTGTGTCTGTCTGAGTGGGGACCAGCCTGGGGGGCCCTGATGGTCAGGAGCCAGGCGGAGGACCAGTGTCTGAGCGCCTGGGCTCCCCACGCCACCTGTGAGGGGGTCCCGGCTGCCGAGGGCCCAGCGGGATGGTGACAGGGCCAGGCCAGAGATTCAGGCCCAGGTCTGAGCCCAGCTTCCCCTCTCCCTGGGCAGATGATGGGGGGCCTCCCGCAAGTTGCTTCGGGCCTCCTGGTGACAGTCTTGCCCGCCGAGGCTGGAGGGCCCCGGTGGGCACCTAGGTGAAGCGGTGCCGCGCTGTCCCCCTGCAGGACGCTCAGAACACACTGCAGACTCAGGCTCTGGGCAAACAAGCCATTGTTACTGTTGCCCCAGGGAACACACAGGCAGAGGGGCTGGGGGACTCGCTGCGTCAGGGTTCCAGGGCCAAGTTATCCACTCCCCTGCGGCCTTCCTGCAAGAGAGGCACAGAGGGGCCGGTGGCTTCACTCCATCGTGGTTCCCAGCCGCCCCCTCCACAGGAGGCCCAGCGCCCTCCCACCGCCCAGTCCCCCGCCGAGCTCACCTTCTTGGGGCTCACCTTCTGGGATCTGGGGGGGCCACGGCTGCAGCAGGTGCAGCAGCAGCAGTGGATGCCAGCAAGCAGCAGCAGCAGGAGCACGGCGCCTGGGGCGGGATGAGTGTCCAGATAAGACCCTGGGCCGCGCACAGGGCTGGGAAGCTGATGGGGGACCGGAGGCCAAGGCCACACTCACTGATGAAGACGAGGAGGATGATGAAGGCAGCGGTGTCCCACTTGGACTGGAACGGCTGGCGGCTCCTCAGTTTCCCCAGCACTTCCTGTGCTGTGGTCTCCAGGTCCTCCACCGACAAGCCCATCTCAGCTGGAGGGTCCTGGGTGCCACCTACCCGGGCCCCCCCAGAGGGCCCTCTCAGATCCTGGGCTCCTCCGGGGCTGGGCCACATCCAGGCCTCCCGCAGTGCAGCCCTGCCTCTGCGGGCTCCCCCCACCACCCCTCCGGGCCCCAGCCCCTGCCCCAGCCTCTCTTTCCTTCCTCTCCTTGCCCAGCCCTTCTGCTCCCCACCGTGACCCTGGCCTGGGCAGCCCCCTCCCCTCCCTTTCACCCCAGCAGCCCTACTCCCAGACCTCCAGCTGCCTCGAGCTCCCCCAGCCAGGCAGGTCCTAGGTCCTGGGAGCGCAGACTACTTCCTGCTTCCGGATCCACACCACCTGAGGCCTTGGCAACCAGCTCCACCCCTCCCCAGGGCCAGCCTGGGGCTGCCAGAGCTCAGCCTCTGGCCTCCTCCCAACAGAAACAGGCACCATGGGACCCGGGGAGGAGGCCACCGGCCTGTTGGCCTCTTCGTTCCAGGGATTTTTCACTTTTTCTCGACAGACCAGACAAGCAGCCTGGGGACACATTGGGCCCTTGGCGTCTGTTGACTCCATGAATGAAGGAAAGACAGAGAAAAAGAGAGAAAAGAGGGAGGGAGGAAGGGAGAGGAGGAGGGAGGGAGGTGGAGGGAGAGAGGTAGAAAAGCAGAAAGGAAGGGAGGCGAGGGGAGGGAGAAGTTGTTTCCTTGCACCTCGCTTCCTCGGGCAGCTCGGGTGTGCTGGCATCATGGTAGCCGTCTCTTGGTCCTTATTCTCTCTTTTCTGTTCCTCGCAATAACCCTTACGAGACAGTGGTTGCCGTCTCTCAAATGAGCTCTTTCCCCAGAACTTGGGGCCTGGGGCGGCTGACCCTGCCAGCGAGGTCACTGTCCCTTCTCCCTTCTTTCAGAGCGCAGACGTGTATCCAGGCACCCCAGGGGCCAGAGACTATGCTCAGAGCCTGAGCTTGGCTGTAAAGCAGGTGGACGCCGTTTCTTGTTCTTGTGCTTATGGTCCAGTGAGGAAGAGCAGGTCAGCCAATGTTAGGCTGTGCCCCTATCACTATACATTATGTATACATGTATCGCTCTACGTATATACATACATATTCTGCCTGGCCATCCTAACGTGGGTATTACTGCTATTCCCATTTTACAGATGTGAGAACAGGCCGTGAGAAGTTCGGCGACTAGCTCAGGTCACACTTCTAATGTATTCATTTCCTGTTGTTGCTGAAACATACACCACAGACTTAGTGGCTTAAAATAACACAGATTTATTATCTTTACGGTTCTGGAGGTCAGAGTCTGAAATGCATCGGCAGTGCCTTTGTTCCTTGTGAAGGCTCCTGGCTGAAGGCATTCCTTGCCTTTTCCAGCTTCTAGAGGCCACTCACATTCCTTGGCTCATGCCCCACCCCCATCCCTTCCAGTTTTGCTTCCATGCTCACATCCTCTCTGACTCTGACCCTCCTGCCACCCACTTATACATTGGCTCACAGGATAACCTCCCCATCAAAATCCTCGATCACATCTGCAAAGTCCCTTTTGCCGTGTAAGGTGACATATTCACAGGTCCCAGGGACTAGGATGAAAACATCTTTGGGGGCCATGATTCTGCCAACCACACCCAGCGAGCAGAGAAGCCAGAATGGGGACTCAGGCATTCAGGCCCCAGAGTTCTTGACCACCTTGTGATAGGGTCTCCTGTGCTGGGATCCCCATCTTACACCCCACATCCCCTCCATCCCATTCTGAGATCTCAGGTTCCTGGTTCAGAGAGAGAGTAGTTTTGAAATGACTGGAGTGTTCTCTTGCAAAAAGGAGGGGAGGCGAGTGCAGCCACTGTGGAAAACAGTCTGGCAGTCCTCTAAAAGTTACACATAGTGTCGTCATATGACCTAGCAACTCCATTCCTAGGTATATACCCAAGAGAATTGAAAACAGGGACTCAAAGGCTTGTACCCATGTTTATAGCAGCACTTTCGCAATAGCCAAAAGGTGGAAACATCCCAGTGTCCATCAACTGAAGAATGGATAGACGCAATGTGGTCCCTCCAGACAATGGAGTATTATTCAACCACAAAAAGGAGTGAAGCGCTGATATGTGCTTCAAAGCACGTGAACCTTGAAAATGATGCTCAGGGAAAGAGGTGAGACACAAAAGGCCACATGGTGCACGATTCCACTTCCATGAAACGTCCACAACAGGCGCATCCATAGACGCAGGAAGGAGATCGTGGTCTCTGGGGGCTGGGGGATGGAGCGAGTGCTTAGTGGTTAAGGGGTTCCCTTTTGGGGTGATGAACGTGTCTAGGAACTAGAGAGAGGTGGCGGTTTTTTGCCATCGTGAATGTGCTAAATGCCCCTGACCTGTTCACTTTCAAATGGCTAATGGTTAGTTTTATGTTATGCGAATTTTACCTCCGTTGAAAAAAAAAGTGGGAGGAGAGTCAACAACTGTGGTCCCTGACCCCCGGCTTGGCCTGGCTTGACCTGACAGAAGGTCCACGGTCACCTCCTCTCCCTGCTGAACCTCAGCCTTCCTGTCCAGCCCCCCGGGTGCCTTGTTTCTTGTTTGTCATTCCCATCATGAAAGTAAGACCCCCTCATTAAAGAAAATCTGGGAAACCCCGAGTTCTTACAAGTTGTTACAAGTTGTCCGCGCAGAGCCCAGACCCAAGCAGAGCAATGATGGGGAGGAGGCTGTGGCAGGACACATTTTGTGCTGGTCAGACCCCAAGACTCAAATCCTGTTCCCAGCCTTTAACACCCACGAGTGTGTAACCTGGGGCACGGTCCCTGACCCCTCTCTGCCTCAGTTTCTCCATGTATAAAGTGGGTGTGTGCACAGTATCCACCTCCTAGGGGTGTTGTGAGGATTGAGTGGAGTAATCGACATAAACGCCTCCTTAGCACAGCGAAACACACTGGAAACTGTGCACTAAATGGCCGTGTATTACTCTCGCCCAATTTGTGGGTGTGAGTTGTCCAGTCTTTTATTTTTGTCGCTGTCGGGCTCACCCGCCCTCCTCGTGCCCCACAGATCACTTTCCCCTCGGCTCTTCCCGGCCAACACGGCCAAGAGCACCTTGCAAACGACCACGGCTTTCCGCAGACCTGACCCCCCCTGGTTCACAGCATGGGCACCCACAGAGGCCCCCTCCCCCCGGTATTTCAGAGTCCCACAACGCTCACATGTGGTGGTCTGCCTGGAGGACGTGTGTTCTCTGCAGAAAGCCCGCTTTCCTTAGGGGACATTCCCAGAGGCGGAGTCTGCTCCGGTTCCAGGTCACTCACGAGGGCCAGGCGTTGTTCGGTCATTCACGCATAACCCTCTCGTTTGCTTTGATGAGGGGGCCAGCCTCGCTGTGTCCCTCAGGAGCTGTGCAGCTGTGGCTTGAGAGATCTCTCTGTCGGAGGTGGAACCGTGTTCTGGGTCAGGCTTTGCCCGTCTCCCCACCCCGAGCCCTGCCCAGCCCCACGCCCAGCCCCCAACCCTCGAAAGTGAAGTCTCAGCCTCTGTGGTCAGGTGTGTAGAAGGTGGGGAGTGGAAGAGCAGGGGTCGGGCGGGACAGACGCTGGTCGAGGCTCAGGACAGTTGAAGACAGTGGACCGGGGCGGAGCTGGTGGGTCTCGGTGGGTCGAGCGGGGTTGGCAAACCACTGCCTGCTTTTGTAGATACATTTCCTGGCACGCAGCCTCAACCATCCGTTTACTTGTCTGGGGCTGCTTTCACACTGCAACGGCGGAGCTGAAGAGTAGTTGCAACAGAGATCTTATGATCTGCAAAGTTTAAAGTCTGTACTCTCCAGCCTTTTACAGAAAACATTTGCCAACATCTGAGACAGGATTGCCTAGGGCTTGCAAACTCAGGTGCCAGGAAACAGGTGAGAAAGAAACAACTGAGTGAGATGGACTTGGTATAAGAAACATCTTATCATTAGGGAGACATTAGGGAGGGGTGAGGACTATGGTGAACTGGAAGACACAGGGCCTATCTAAGGAGGGCAGCTCAAGTCAGCTGCAGGCTGGCCCTAGTATTGCCAGGGCTTACAGCTTCTAAGATCCCTTGGAAAGCTAGATGTTGGTGTGATCAAGAAAAGAGGCAGTGGAGGTTGTAGGCTCAGATCCCAGCCCTGCCATTTCCTCGCTCTGTGACCTTGAATGACTTGTTTGACTCTCTCTTATCTGTAAGTAGGTGTAATGACAGCACTCACTTCGTAGGGCTGTGATGATTATTGCATGAGTTAACATCCTAGGGCTCCTCGAACAATGCCATGCACAGACTAAGTACAGGGTAAATATTTGCTAAACCAATTCCTTAATTTTTCAATGCTGCCAGTTTGAAATACTATGGCACCTGCAAAGGTTGACGAAAACACTGATGTCCTGCTTTCTGGCCGTGGGTCACGGGTTTGCTTCCTGCTGCAGAGTGGTTAGGGGCCTTAGCTTGGAAGTCAGAGGGACTGGCTGAAGCCCAGCTCTGCCACTTACGAGGGAGCTGCCATGGGCTCCTGTGGTCCTGTGTATAGTGCTAGGCCAGGGTCGTGATGAGGATGACAGAGCAGTGCCCCCGAGGGGCCTGGAGCAGCAGCTTACTTGTCTCTGCCCTCATACCCCTGCTGCAGAGGGGCCCCCGGTGGGGTGACTGGAAGGGGTGCAGCTCAGATTCTTCAGTTAACTGTCACCCTCCCCCTCCCCCTCCCCCTCAGCACACACAAGGGGGTCTTCCAGGACAGGGCAGCTCCCCGAAGCTCCCCCAGGAACCCAGGGCCACCAGGTGCCACACGAGGCTGCTTCTCTCTCCCTCTGTCCCCCACAGGTCCGGCCCCTGGGCTTGGCCAGGCTGGCATGCTCTGTGGAGGGCGTGTCTGAGCAGAGAGGCTGCCTGGGCCATGGGTGGGGGCGGGACAGGTCCCTGGGCTGGTGCACCTCAGAGCAGAGGTTCAGTCTCCCCGAGAGGCAGCTCCCCCAGGCAGCTCTCCAAACCTCGTGGACCACGGGGACCTGAGGGATGGACAGACCAGGGGTAAAGCGTGGGAGTCCCTGGAAGCAGAGTTAAGGAGTTGAGGTTCAGAAATGAGAACTCAGTGGTCCCCCTCTGCAGCCCCTGTGACACCCCTCTCCCCACTCCACCCGGATGACAGGCATCCTTGTGCCCTTGGCCCCATGGACCCCCTGAGACGGTCCCCCTCCCCCTGCACGTCGCGGCCCCCGAGCCCCAGGACCCCACCCTGCGAGATGCTTGGTCATGTTGGCATCGAGGCCGTGCTGGAGCAGCTGAAGATCAAGGCCATGAAGATGGGGTTCGAGTTCAACATCATGGTGGTGGGTGAGTGAGGGCCGGGGGGCACTCACAGGAGAGCAGACCAGTGGACGTGACCCCGCGGGCCTGGACGTGTCGCCTCACTTCTCGGAGCCTCAGTCTCCCCATCTGTTAAGTGGGACTGATGGAAGTACCTCTCAGGGGGCCTGCAGTGGAAAATCCGGGAAACACTGAGTCGTTAAAAGGCAAAAGTCCCACAAAGCCAAACCAAACCCAAGCAGAGCAATAAAAGGGGAGGCCGTGGCAGGAAGCGGAACCCCCCAGACTCAGATCCTGGTCCCAGCCCTGAACCCACCAGCGTGCGACCTTGGGCACGGTCCCTGACCCCTCTCTGCCTCAGTTTCCTCATCTGGCTTAGCACAGTTCTTGGTGTTCAGGAGGTTCTCCATGGGTCAGCGCATCTGGAATTGCATTTTTATAGATGCAAAATTAATTTTGTAGGTCAAAATTACACTTTTAACAAAATAAACTAGATACAGCAGAACATAAGTAGCAGAGTGTGTAGCACCAATTAAAGGTATTATTTGGGGCCCAGCCCTGTGGCTGAGTGGTTAAAGTTCTGCGCACTCCGCTTCAGGGACCCAGGTTCGCGGGTTCAGATCCCAGGCACAGAACTACACTGCTCATCAAGCCATCCTGTGGCAGCAACCCACATACAAAATAGAGGAAGATTGGCACAGATGTTAGCTCAGTGACAATCTTCCTCAGCAAAAAAAAAGGGGGGGGTTATTATTCTACAGCATTCTACAGCAGCACTGTCCAATAGAAATACAACAGGAGCCACATAAATAATTTTAAAATTTCCCAATAGCCACCTTTAAAAAAGTAAAATGAAGGAGGCAAAATTAATTTTGATCGTCTATTTGATTTAACTCAATATATTCCAAAATACTATCATCTTGACACATAATCCGTATAAAAAATTATTTGTGAGATCTCTTACGTTCTTCTTGTCGTACCAAGTCTGCAAAATCTGGCTGGCACTTCCAGCAACAGCATCTCTCAATCCAGATCCACTGTATTGCTGGTGCCAATAGCCAGAGGTGGCTCCCGTACGGGACAGTGCAGCCCTGAGGACAATTGTAGTTATAGACGCAAAGGTGTGTCCTGCATTGTGATGTAGATGTTTCCTGCTCTGGGGGCATGACCCACGGAGCTCGAGACGCCCCCACAGCAGGGAGAAGGGACCATCTACAGCCACAGGCTGCATCAGTGAAGCTCCCCAAGGAGTGTCGAGTGAAGGAAGCCAGACACAGACATGCTGTGCGGTTCCCTAAGCTAAGGGCGGGCAGAACTCCTCTGGCTGATGGAAGTCAGGAGCGTGGCTGTCCCTGGGGGCGGGGTTCGGAGTTGCTGAGACAGGGCGTGAGTGGGCTTGTGGGGGAGCTGTGTGTTCTGTCTCTCAATCTGGTGCTGCATACACAGGTTGTTCAATGTGTAAAAATGTGTTCAACTGCTCATCAAGGAGGAATGGATAAAAACCATGTGGTGTATCCATCCGATGGAATATTATTCAGCCATGAAAAAGAATGGAGTACCTATACTTCCTATAATGTGGATGAACCTTGAAAACATTACACTGAGTGAAAGAAGCCAGACACAGAAGGACAAATACTGCATGTGTCTATTTCTATGAAATGTCCAGAATAGGCAAATCCATAGAGACAGAAAGCAGAGGAGTGGTTGCCAGGGACTGGGGGTGGGAGGTATGGGGAGTGACCGCTAATGGGTACGGGGTTTCTTTTTGGGGTGATGGAAATGTTTTGGAGCCAGAGAGCACTGGTGGTTGCACAACACTGTGAAAGTACTAAATGCCACTGAACTGTTCTTTTTAAATGGTTGACAGTTAATTTTTTGGTGTATGAATTTTGCCTCGATAAAAACGGGTGTTAAGTGTCCAGATGGATGCAGATGAAAGTACACACTTTTCTGCATGTGTATTATACTTAGAAAACAGTTTCCTTTTCCAAACAATTTAGTGATTGCTGTCATCTGGCTGCTCATAGGGCAGAGCGGGCTGGGCAAGTCCACCATGGTGAACACGCTGTTCAAGTCCAAGATGTGGAAGTCCACTCTGCCAGGCCTGGGGGTGCCCATGCCCCAGACCCTGCAGCTGCAGTCAGTGACCCACAGTGAGTGACCTCCCCCGACACACACACCCGCCCCTCCCCACCCGGGTCCAATCTCTGCCCACTCGGCTCTCCCTCCACAGTCATTGAAGAGAACAGCGTGAAGCTCAAGCTGACTGTGACCGACACGCCTGGCTTCGGGGACCAGATCAACAATGACAAGTGGTGGGTCCTTGGGAGCGGGGGCCCGAGCCCAAGTTGCCCCTGCCTCTGCCCCGCAGGCCTCTGGGAAACATCCCGGCCCGGGAGCGACTGGGCTGCGGCATCTCTGAGCTTCAGTTTATTCGTCTGTGTAATGGGCGTACCCAACTCTCCCTCCAAGATGGAAGGGAATCGAGTACATGAAGGTCTCAGCTTACTGCCTGGCATGGAGTAAGCTCTCAACAAGGCTTAGGGGACAGTAGGGGTTAGAAGCCCACCGTCCAGAGTCAGGACCCCTGGGTTAGACCACTTTCTAGCTGCGTGACCTGAGACGGGTCACAGAAGCCTCGGAGCCTCAGTTTCCTACTTTGTAACTTGGGGTTACAAGTTGGGGATGTTGAGGCGGAACGAAGACAGTGGTTGATAAAACACACACACACAGTCAGGACTGGCTGCATAATGTGTGGGACGCAGCGCAACGAAATTTGGGGCCCCTTGTTAAAAAATTACAAAGAATTGTGACGGCAGAGCATGCAGCCACACGTGGGCCCTTGACAGCACGGAGCCCGTGTGACTGCTCTGTGTGCGCTCCTGTGAGCCCAGCCCCGAGCACAATGGTCCGTGGGCACGTGCTACGTGCAAGCTCTGTTCTAGACCCGGGGATACAGCAGTGAACAAAACCGAGGGACATCCTTGTCCCCATGGAATTTACGTTGTCACAGGGGTGAGGGATAGACAAGGAACAAAATAAATCAGTTGTACAGAGGGTCAGCCTATACGCTGTCACCCAAACAGGCCATTTCTGAGAGTGACGGGTACGGAGCGGTAGGGGGTTACAATTTTAAGAATGATCAAGAAAGACCTCTTGGAGAAGGTGGCATTTGGGCACGGACTTCCAGGAGATGAGAGAACAAGCTATGTGGGGGATGAGTGTTCAAGGCAGAGGGCCTCATGTGCAAAGGCCCTGAGGTGGGATGGGCTGGTGTGGCTGGAGGGTCATGAGCGACAGGGAGAGGGGAGGTGGGGGCAGGTGGGAAGCAGCCAGGGGAAGGTGCGGGGGCTGTGGGGCAAGGCAAGGCCGCTGCAGGCTCAGGAAAGAGGGGCATGCTCTGCTCCTGCCTTCACGAGCATCTTCTCGGCTGCTGTGTTGACAATAGCCTGGCGGGGTGGGGACCCAGAGAGAGGAGTCAGGAGACCCCTCCACCAACCGGGCGAGGGTCCTGGGTGGTTTGAACCAGGCGGTGGCAATTTCTCTCATTTAATGTCCCCGCTCCCCTACAAAGCAGGTGTTCTGTTGTCCCCGTTTTCAGACGATGAAGCTGAGGCCTCGGCTCGAGGGGCGTCTCTCTGGTGATGCAGGGGAGTGGGGGACGGGTACTCGGGTGACCCAGCGCCTCAGGTTGTGCGAGACTGAAAGTCTGTGAGAACCTGGGCTGTTGGTCATCCTAAGGGGAGACCCCCAGTGCCCCCGGGGAGGTGGAGGGGGCTCCGGGGCACGGCACTGAGGTGGGGTCGTCTCCGCGCCAGCTGGGACCCCATCCTGGGCTACATCAATGGACAGTACGAGCGGTACCTGCAGGAGGAGATCCTCATCACCCGCCAGCGCCACATCCCCGACACCCGCGTGCACTGCTGCGTGTACTTCGTGCCACCCACCGGGCACTGGTGAGGTGGCTGGGCCCGCCCAGGGAGGCCACCTGCGTGGGGCAGAGAGGAGGAGGCGGAGGGCCCCCCGGGTGGGCTGTGGGCTGGCACCCCCTCACTCATACACTCGCCGCCGCTGCTTCTGCCACCACCACTGCCATCGCTGCCCCGCCCGAGCAGCCTGCGGCCCCTGGACATTGAGTTCCTGCAGCGGCTGTGCCGGACTGTGAATGTGGTGCCAGTGATCGCCCGGGCCGACAGCCTGACCATTGAGGAGCGAGAGGCTTTCAGGCGCAGGGTGATCTGGGTGGCTGGGCAAGGCTGGGGTTGGTGGGGGTGGGGAGGGGGCAGAGTGCAGAGGGTGGGCTGAGGTCACCTGTGTGTGGTCCCCAGATCCAGCACGACCTGAGGGCTCACTGCATCGAGGTGTACCCGCAGAAGTGCTTTGACGAGGACATCAGTGACAGGATCCTCAACAGCAAGATCCGGGTAGGAGGCCGTGGGGGCAGGGAGGCTGGCAGGACCGAGGCTGGGTGACTTTCTTTCCACTCACCCTTTCCGTCTGAAGATCTGTCTCTCTCTACAACTCGGGGAAAGTTCATCTATTTCTGGCAAGTGTGAATCTCCATTCACCCACAAACTCAAGGTTTACAGAGATATATCTGACAAGAGACATGACTATATAAAAAAATATATATATATTCAAAAGACCTGAATATATAAAGAACTCTTACAAATCAACAATAAGACAAACAGCCCAATTTAAAAATGAGCAAAGGATTTGAATAGACATTTCCCCAAAGAAGTTATACAAATGGCCAATAAGCACATGAAAAGATGTTCAACATCGTCAGTCATAAGGACCATGAGATATTACTTCACACCCACGAGGATGGCTGTCATCAAAACGACAGACGACAACAAGGGTAGTTACCCACAATTAGACTGTGGATGTGATCGCACCATCTTGTGAATATAATACTAAAACCACTGAACTGTACCTCTCAAAGGGCAAATTTTATGGATTGTTAATTATATCTCAGTAAAACTGTCACAAAAAAAGAAAGAAAGAGGGGCTGGCCCCGTGTCATAGTGGTTAAGTTCACGTGCTCTGCTTTGGTGGCCCAGGGTTCACTGGTTTGGATCCCGGGTGTGGACATACACACTGCTCATCAACCCATGCCGTGGCAGCGTCCCACATACAAAATAGAGGAAGACTGGCACAAATGTTAGCTCAGTGACAACCTTCCTCAAGCAAAAAGAGGAAGATTGGCAATAGATGTTAGCTAAGAGCCAATCTTCCTCACCAAAAAAAAAAAAAAAAAGAAAGAAAAAAGAGGGAAGTAGCTCATATCTTCATGTTCCTCAAATCAACTGAATTCCAACTCTAAGCCCCGATCTTGCTGTCCTTGTGGTGGATTCAATGTCAGTTCGTCTTGATCCTGCAAACGACCTGGGTGAGGCCTAGGATTCATCATTCATAGACACCAGGCCTCAACCCCTTCCCCCAGAGACCCTGCTAGCCTAACAGTGCATTTGCTTGGATTAGAAAAAGGCAGCAGCTTCCTTCACAGACAGGAGCCTGCACCTAATTTCAGTTGTACACAGCCTCATGGCCAGCTGCCTTTGTGCAGTGCACAAACCACACATCTGTACATGGAGGCCATGCTTCCCATCTGGCACCCAATTTCTCTACACATTCTCTCTCTCCCTTCCCCACTGGAGCAATGAACAGGATTTCTTGTGAAAGATTCAGAGAGCCGTGATCTTTGCCAGCTTCTGCTTTCTGTCCTGAGATGGGCACAGACAGCAGCCTGGCCACAGCTGGAACAGAGCTGGAAGAGATACAAGGAGAACATACTCAAATTAATGTCTCAGTAAATCATCCAGACACATAACATTTGTCGAGGATTTACTCCAGACTGGCACAGAATAAGCGTGCAACAGATAGTTACTATTATCAGCCCCAGTTTACTCCCTGTCACAGGTTAACTCTTAGAAACAAAAACAAACCCAGATACAGCACTTCCGAGTTTAAGAGTTTGAGTCTCTACTCCCAGCCTCCCAGCCACGAACAAGTAAACAACTGGAATTTCTAAGAGGGCTGAGCAAACGGTTTTGTGAAGGGTCAGATGACGGTGAATATTTTAGACTTTGTGGGCCAAGTGGTCTCCCCCGGGGTAGCGTA